TACCAGCTGAGCTACGAGGCCGCGCACTGATATTTTCACATTTTGTCACATGTGATGATTTCACCAGTTTTCAAGCAAAGCGATCCCAACAACTCTCTTATCTCCTACAGTTTGTGTTTCAAGAATATTTGAGTCAACCAATAACACCGAAATACGTTCATATCTCCCGATTGAAGGGGTGCTAAGAGTTCACAAGTATAGTTTATAACTGTTTCACGATCTCGGACTTTTGTACCCTAATGTCCTCTTTGTGTTACCTCGTCTTGTTCTCGAGTCACGCACAAGATCGGCCTGCTATTCTACGTTGTGAGCTATATTTAGGGTCCCCTGAACTACTGCAATCACTAAGCTGGTGGATTTGCATTCTCTATGGCCTGGGCGTCCTGGGATCGAACCACTTCAGGGGGCGGCCGTCTTCCCTGTCTGTATTTTCCCAGGCAGCCTTTGTATGGTCACGGCTCTCCTTTCTGAATATTGACTGTATATCTGTATGTTTAATACATAAAAGGAAGTAAAAAGACGTTTACTTTATTTATTTAATTTTTTATCGGTTTCCCATCTATTCTGAATCAATACAACGTACTCTATCTGTCCGATAATTCCTTCGTTGGCGGACAATGATCACTCAATAACCAGTTTTCAGGCTGTTGAATTATGTCAACAACGATGACTTTATAGTTTTTTCCACTTATTGAATAATCAATGGTAAAATCAATTTAAAGAACCGGAATGGCGGTCGATTAGATGCCATCTTGGTGGATACAGAAGTAGAAAAATTTCAGTGGCAACGAGGTTCGAATACAAGAATAACGGACCAATGTGATGATAACCGAAAGCGCCTGGGTTTCAGTTTTCAAGCTTGTTCCATTAACAGTTATTCTAGAACTTTTCCCGTCAAGCTTTAGCCAAAACCCGCAGTCCTTTTGGCCTCAACCCATAATCCTTTAACCACAATCCGCTGAGGATCATAAACATTATTGACAAAGATACAACCCCTTTTTCTATCATCAGTTTGGTAAAGCTGTCCGGTTTGACATAATTTCCATGATCACGGTTCAATAATTACGGGTTTCATGTAAAACCTAATGGGGAAAAGGTGTACCAAAAGGGATGTGTTTTTGTGAACGTTAGTCATCATCCTCGGCCTGTCACTGTATCCACCTCTAAAATAAAGAGTTCACTTTATTTGGAGATACACACAGTAAGCTTTGTGGTATCACCTTTTGATTCATGTCAGAGTTTGTGAATGTGAAACAATGTGCCGTTTGTGTTACATTGGAGATTTATACTCACTCGCATGTTATAGGGAAACACTGAAGATGTACGAAGTGTGTCAAATGGTTTGGTGATACAAGCAAATAATTTAAATTTTCTCCAATCAATCTGTGATACAGCATACGAACGCCACACCTCAGTTCTTGCCCAAGCTTTGCAACATCATTTGAAGAGAATAAACTTTTCAACTTTCTACGACCTCAGAGCATATTCCGATACTTTGGATCTGACTGGCCTATTGTGGTATGACTAGAGTTTACACATTGTGACTTTGAGTTTTAGCTAAAGAAAACTTGGGCAATGCTAAAGGATTACGGATTTTGGCTATAGCTTGATAGAAAAAAGTGTAGTCACATTATCTGACCAGTCAGAGGCTTGGACTCGTAAGTGACCCTACATAAGTATGTGTTTCTAGGTGTCTGACAGCTGATAGTTGATCTGATTTATGTGGAGCAGTCAGATCATGAGAGGCCGTTGTTTCTGACAACCGAACGGCATACCGTGGGGAAAATTCAATACATTTGATGCAAGCTGAATTGTTGTGAATGGTTTTCAGGGTTTGATTTGTGTTTGTTCCCACATTCCTGTTTTGCCCGTGAGATAACCCTGTAATACTCGCTGGGAATATACATTTTTCTTCGAACGAAGCAATTTATTTCTCCCTCTCTCTCCTGCCAATTCTGTTCGATGGTTTCGTAAAGCAAACTATTTTTGTGAGAATCCATACATAAAATCAAATGGCTAATTAACCATTGTTCTCTATCACTCCCTGGGAGTAATACAGGTGCAAATGGCAAAAGGACAAACAAATCCACGGGGTAGAGAACCATCATTCACCAGTTTCATTGGAACTGCACATCACAGAGACTATCACCATAGTTACCCCGGGGGGGATTCATTGACACGCAGTCTTATTTGGTTCCCATTCATCGTGGTTGAGTCTGGGGGAAAACAACCGTCAGTTGTCTGGTATTCATTCAGCCTCTTCGTACATTTCACACTCCATTCAACAACATACATACACAAATACAAATGCCTTCAGCGGGTTAGTATTGGGATGAAAAGTGTCACGCGCTCCAAACTCTGTTCCCCCGCAAAACAAGCTCCATTCCGATTCCCAGACCGTCAAACCAAGTATCATCTTCAAATGGAATGTTACCATTGTTATTCCGGTATGAGGGATCGATCCAGCAATTCATAACGCTCTGTAAAAAGTCATCGCTGTGTAAGCAAACAAAAGTACTTTGGGAATGAATTACCGACCGAAATGGTTTGGTGGAGTTCGGCCTTTCAATAAACAACGATGGATGGAGATATGTGTCGTTGGGACACCTAATCAGGTTCAGGCATTGAGACAGTGGAGCGAGGCGTTCGTCAACGTGAATGCAACTCAGCCTAGCTACAGAGAAAAAGCAATACCGGATGCGACCGTGTTGTTGGTTTGACGGTTACGGATTCGCTTGTTACAAGACTGGAGCGTTTGTGAACACCTACTGTAACGGCCAACACCGTGTACATATGACGCGGAGGTTGATATACCGGGTATTTTTAGAGCCTGGAAATAAATACCCGTTCTTTTCGAAAAACCGAAACATGTTGGTTAACGATATGACTATAGTAATATTATTATTCATAATAATAATAATACTAGTAGTAGTAATAGTGTTACTGCTTGTTCATCAGGCTACTTGCACAATGACACTATACGAGTAGCTAAGTCAACGCGTTACGGATAATCTCGTTAATGTAGACAGATCAAACAGAAAAAGACTGCTCCATGGCGTATTAGTGGTGTAGATAGATAGATACTCTTGTTTTATCAGGATTGTAGGCAGTTGAAGGTGAGGGAAAATTGGACAATGGGGACACATATTGTGTAGGGATACCGGAATAACGAAAAGTGAGCCAGAGGACCACTCGGAACTAAAACCAGACGTAGTTGTCCGTGAGGAAGCATGATAAGCGGAAATTGGAAATTGTCAGACTTGTCGGCCAACATATACGTAAATGGAAGAGAAAATGAGTGATAGAATAGTTCCTTTTGTTTCTGAGAGCAAACATACATAATTGATCATGACGAAGTGTACAAAGTGAACGATTTCAAGAATACTTTCACATTTGAGCACCGGTTTAAGTTAGAATACCTTTGGCATCTAGAATTTCTATTAGTTTCTTCCTGCGCATATCACCAAATACACAAATGCTGTCAGTTTTGCCTCTGCTGTGGAGTAGAAGAAAAAGAAATCAACACCCTTAGGCATTTTCCAACATCAGATCTGTCCATGAATAACCATTTAGTTTCACTTTCCGTTTTCACAACTAATAACCATGCGTTTTCATGGACCGGTTATGATTGCTGTCTTACCGTTTCCCATTGGGATAAAAGAGCAGAATGAATTTTGGAATGTTGAGGCTAAACTTCATATACAATCTGGTTTTATGTCAGGCTATCTCGGACTTTTCTGATATTTTACAACTTTCTGACAACTTGGATAAAGTTCAACAAGTTTCCGCTACTTGCTATCCCTCTCTAAATTTTTTTAACTAATTAGAATGTCCCTTATACGGTACCACATTGTTTTCCCCCATCTGATCCGGTATCGATTAGCTCTGAACCGGTATTCGAGTAATGTGTATCAAATACCTGCGAGGGGGGGGGCGGGTGTCGATGATAATTTTCATTGGACCTCTCACTTTTGGGTTAATCGTCACTCAACTTCTTCCCCTATCCGTAGACCTTGCCATTTTAAAGTTCAAAAATCGATTATTTCCAAATTTGTGTGCTAGTGTGTTTCCTCCTTCTACCTCGGTGTTCATCTGTTGTTTCTTCTACTCTCCCGAAAAAATAATTTAAGCTGCTTCGACATGGACTAGTCATAATTCACCATGCTTTTTCAATCCCGCTGAAGGAGTTAATAACCAATGTGTGTGGACGTTATTTAAAAACCATGTGGAAAATTTCAATAAATAATGCTGATGAATCCCGCTCATCATCATCAATTACGCACGGATTTAAACAATTTATTGTTATTTCCTTCTATCTATTAAACCCGAATAACTTTTATGTTTCCTCATGCAAAAACGTTTATCGTAACTGTGTGATACTCTATTTAGTGGGTATTCCGGTTTCACTGACTTTCTAAACAGTTTCAATATTTAACAATGTTTCTTGATTTTGTACATTGTTGACGGAAATATGTAGGCACAACGCTTACAGAAGTTATAATTACGATCCAATGCAGTACAACAAACAAACAGTTTAACTAAACATATCAATGTGTAACCTTTATTATACAATTCGTATCAACTGGTGAGATGGCCCATATGACTCTCGACAGACGTGTGATGAGCTGTTTAGAGCAGTGATAAATTGCATCCATCCATCTCCGGAACCCGGGACAGATCATGTTTTTGAAGAACCGATTAGCATTTCAAATACACTACTGAGGTTACCATCAGTAGTTTGGATTCAAGATGATAAGTAGAGATTATGGGGAGGCTTGAACCCCAATGGGTGAAAGATAAGTCAGGGTGGCAAGTTATAGTGCATTCTCATCCTTCAGACTAAAGGCAGAAAGAGAAAACAACGAAATCAAACCTGATTCGCCGCGTCATCTGATTTTACAATACAGTGTTAGAAGTGCATCGATAATACGACAGTATTAGAGCGGACAAGTTCATCTGGGATGAGCGATAATGTGGTAGCTCATTTTTTCTAAACTTACGTAGTTTCTGTTTCTTCTCCCGAATTTTCTGATCTTTTCGCTTCCTGGCCACAGCTGAAATGGTTTTAGTTGCCAAATCGCTATTCCGCGGTCGAATATTCTCCGAGCTACTTGAACGCGATTCTTCCGAACCGATGTGTGTTCGGATACTGGGTATTTCCGGATGGGAGACCGACTTCTGATTCGCATCCAAACTCTTCATAGCACTGATCGATTTGTGCATTCGTATACGCCTCTGGTTCGGTCTATCCCCAGTCCCATTCAGTGGACGTGACTGGGCGTTTGTGAATCCGGGCTGTCCATTGCCCAAGCCTGAGTTGTAATGAGGCAGGGGTTCAGCATCGGAAGCGCGACGCGATCCACTATACTCTAACCATTTGGCTGTACGACTGTATCGATTTTCATCCAGCACACCATCGGTTGGTAGCGATGATAATGAAGCGGAAACTTTGGACTGTAGTCCGTTCGTAAGCGCTGATGGAATCATTCTACAAGGTAACAACAGATCAATTGTCTCAGTATCAATAGTTGCCGCTTTAATATTTTCATTCAAAAGTGAAGAAAGTACCGCCCATATCACACAAACACACGGTTGTCCTGAACGGTGATAAGAAGAGGAAATCTGTGACAGCTTTAGCAATTTCGAGATTTAGCAATTAAGAGAAAAACCAGCTAGTAACTAAAGTCTGGGAACCCCTGTAAACCTTCGGTCTTCATATTTACTGGAACAAAAAGCTTGAGAGCCATAACAGTATTTCAAATCTGGTAACGAAAGGCGGAATGTGTCATCTTTGTGAAACGCATAAATACAGGAGTGAGTTAAACACACGTACATGGGTCCGGACTCGCTCTGTGCGTGGAATATCACTGACATTTACTAATTAGTCATATTTAAAGCACAGCTGCTTGTAACTAGTGGTGTCCGATGTGCATTATCATTGCAAAAAACCATTCTTACAACTTCACCTTCAAGCATAACTATCATTTGGTCTGATCAACCATACCCTCAAGAAGCCCTGGACTTCAGTTCCATTCTTGATAGAGAGTATCAGTGGATAAAATCCAAAATACCGTCCGAGATTTGATCTCCGGATCAATTGGACACAAGACGTGCAGATTGAGATTTGTTCAACGACCCAAAGCCTGTCTTCTTTCGTAGTTATCGGGTTCAAGTAACTGACTGATCACCTTTAAAAACGATATCGAAACAAATATGAATAAGAAATTCTGGTCAGCCACGGTGTGAGCTGGTTGACACAGNGATTTCCGTGATTGAAACTCGTCTCCTGTGTTTTTCTTTGTTGCGTGTATAGTTGACTGGAGGATTGTGCGCGAAGTTGAAGTCTGAATGATGAACACCCAGCCCACCCACCCAACCACCCCCGTCAATATTACTTTTTTTTACGGCACATTTTACCAGACTGCAGGTATTTATTCCACAATAAGGCACTCAGATGTTTGATTCCAGATTTATGATACAGTTTTATCAACTTTGCGCTTCCCATCGACCATATTGCCACAAAATATAGCTACTGGGTTACTGGGCTACGCGTTACTTCGATCGAGGAATAAAGGGTCAAACACTGACAGTAGTACCGAAACAGAGTTGTAAAATGTGAATAAAATGATTGTGTGTGGAAAATGATTCGATATATGAGCACCATCCTTTGGGAAAACGGATCTAACCCAGTCTCATGTTTGTCATGAGATCTCTACTGAGAATTTTAGCCTGATCTACGAGGCCCGGTCTGATCAACCTTGACCTTCTTCCACACGCCGTCTGACTTGATAATAATAAAATATTAAGGCAGGCCGGTTCACATTCCCATGTGCACTAATGACGAAGAACAGACAGTGTCCCGTTCAAGCTCTACCATTTCTATTCTCCGCGTAATTCATCAGAGTTAACAGACGGTCATTTTAGTCTGCACAACAACCCACTGAAGCAGGTACTAAAACGCATGAGAACATCGGATCCAGTCAGAAAGCAATCTGGTATTCAAACTAATGAATCGACGAGTGGCTTAATTTGAAAAGTTCTTAGAAATATCAAATACATCATGAACGAACAGGATCTAATAATCCTCGGATTTCCTCATCGTCTCTGATCTGTTGAGTTGAATACTATTGTACCTAATCAGATTTGTAACGTTCAGTGGATTCTATCAAAATTGTGCTAGCAATATGCAATTTGTTATCCAATAGCCACATTCCAAAATTGTTTTCGCCTTATCGAGTTTGGCCTGAGCACATTAGTTTTCAAACAGTACAAACTCCATTGATCGATTCTTCAGATCGATGCAAAGTGGTATGGTGAACTCAAATTTGCATCTGTGGATGCCCGACCGATCCTCGCTGTTGTAGGATTAAAGTGAGAGGGAGGGAACCATATCACTGATTGTCCACAGTCGGTCTATGGTGTGTCCATACCAACCCATCTTTTAAGAGACTAACGCTCAAGTCACATGTCTATAAATCGAAAAAACCATCAATCGGTGATACTTCCGTATCACGAATACCTGTTTACCGATTAATTTTTCTTCATTTTTACTTCCTTTTATTGAATACATACTGATATAGTTTAGGCAGGGGAAAGCGTACAATCAAAGGGATACCATAAAACGCAGATGGTCGGGCGGTGTTGGTGGGATTCGAACGCACGTCCCCGGGTGCTAATTTGATGACGTTACCACACAGAGCCAGCACCACCCTTGTAACGTTTGTTTCAGCCTTGTTCGGTTTGTGAACTGTTAGTCTCTTGTAAATTACTGCATGGTACAAGGAACTGAACAGCGTCGCTTCCACGTAAGTCGAGTGAAAGTCGAGGTTCAGGTTAACCCACTTAATCTAAAATCCATGCATTCATACGGCGGAGAAAATGTAGACCACTAAGACGCTATGTATAGCTACAACATTTACTAATTACATCGACCTAGTAACTCAAAACTGGGACTTTCGAGTGCCCCGAAAAAGTTCTTGCCCTACCCCTTACCCCGAACCAGAACACACAAACGTATTCGAAACAAAACTCTTCGTAAACTGACGGGGGGATGAAATCGAGAACAGAACGAACCTGAAATCCATTGACGAACCGGTGAAGCTGACACGTCGATCCGCGCTTGCGTTACCCTGAAATGAACAAAATAGCAGTACAGACCACTGCATGTTTCCTTCCGACGATGTTTGCGGTGTTCATGTTGATAAACAGTGCCTTGAATTATGTGAGTACACTTTCAAAAATAATGAGGATAAACACTAAAGTCGGAACAATGATTATTACTTGACTCCAGAGAGACGCAGTATCAAACAAAGGTCTCATGATTGTCTGTCCGGAAAGCATTTGAAATTGATTTGTTATTCTAATCCCGACCGGGACAATTATCAGACCCAGGAATGTCGAGAGTTTATCCACAAACGGAACAGCACTCTGTGCTAGTCGATAAAACTTTACCCGTGGTTTCAGTATGATTGCATCACCCATAGTGAGACGCGCAGAATTCCATAGAACGAAGCCTATACCCACTCGTGATTTCACCAGAATTCTGAGTGCCTGTGTGGTTTCGCACTCAGCCGGTCCTTTCATTCTCCTCGGCGCTCTACTCATTCCATGGATGAAAGACCGAGTGGTAATGCTAGTGTACCTGTTTTTATTTTTCGAGGGGGGTGGGGAGGTGGTAGGAGTTCCTAAACCACACCCAATGAATGATGTCCGGAAAAGGAGATAGAAACAGGCACTACTCAGAATTTCAAACCAGAACAAACAGATTCAACCGAGCGAGCGTTCCAGCATCGGCCGCGATGATATCAGATATTGGTTGGTGTGGAAACGAATTGTCAACCTACGTGAATGGACGAAATCGAGTTCAAAAAATAAAACCAGTTACGAGTTACTTCATCAAAACGTTCCTGTACAAATAGAGCAAGGTGAATGGCTTGTATTTTACCTTGTACATATTACCTCATACTGGGGAATAAACACTCCATAGATATGGTGGATCATGTCTGACCAGTGGAAGTTTGAAGAAACTTCACGATGAATGGTCACCCAATTTTTACCCTGTTCCTACTTCCACCTTGTTGATCGGACCCAGGTCTAGATCGGCCTGCTATTCGGATTATACTGATCCACAGTTTAGGCCGCACGATTTTACCTTCAATTGTGGTCAGGAAATACTTTACAATAAAGAGGTCCTCCCACAGTGGAACAATAAGCCTGAAAAGTGATCATCCCCCACCCAACCCCCTACACACACCCAGAAGGCAGCAAGTTAACATGGTTGTGAACAATTTTATCACTGAAATCCCTCGAGAATGAACACAGAACTCTCGGGGCAGATTTTTAGCTGCAAACGAACAACACCAATTGATTCTGTTCTACCGATATGTCACAGTCATCTTGCAATGAAAGTTGTCCTACTTTTCCACTTGGAATAACATTATGGAATGGTTGAAGACCGTCAGTTTAGTCACAGGGATCAAAGAGTGCAAGTCAATAATCAGGGATCCCGTGAATTCTGTAAGTCCGTAACGGCAAATGTTGAGTTACTTGTGAAATTCATTGACTCCATACGTACACATGTTTAGAGTTGAACCTTCACACTGACGAAACAGTTCAGTCCGTTGGTGGATATCAACGCTTAGACGGCAAACACCAAGTCAATGGAACTCAAAAGCTTCCGGTGAAATGCTACTAGACGGTCAATGGAATAAAGCCTCTGTCCTCCCCCCTCCACCCCCCCAACCCCGCCGGAAACACGGTAACTGGTTATTAATTTGCAGAAGAATGGAAAGGATCGCATCCCCATATTCGGTGGAGGAAAATGCACAATCTGATACATGATTGTGAAGAAGTGAAGTCCGGATCAAAATAATTTCGGAGCACGATATCTCAAGTGAGAGCAAACAGACAGAGTAGAATTCGTCATGCCTAGAGCAAACGAAGTGTGAATTGGAAAGCTTGGAAACACTGGACAGCTGTTTCGACCTTTTTGGGTCTCGTCAGCAGTGCGAATTCGAATGAAGGTCGAACTCGGGACCTCACCTGAGGAACACAAGCAAAATCCAGCTTCAACGATGCAAGCAGTGCCGTCTATAAATGATTTCTAACCACTCGCGGCACTCATCACTGGCAACAACAGGAGTACTTATGCAACAGAAGGTAAATTTGTAAGACAAAACACGATCATTTTCGTACGAGTCATGGCGGATTGTATAAATCGCAGAAACACCATAATATGGGCTCAATAATTATGATTGGTGATTCCTAATTCGGCTGTCCTCCACCCACCTTTTTTCGTAAATTGTGGTACGTCTAAAACCAGCGAAAAATCTATCACCTAATATCCGTGGATCACTTCAACAATCCAACCAACAGCCGTGATTGAGGAGAAGTTGCTTTTCTGGCACACTGATTAATGTAATAATCTTACGCAATCATGAGCTTATCATGTTTGGCCCACCATTTTTCATTTCTCAACCACATAAAATAAAATAAAATAAAACGACACAAATGTGCCAACACTCTGGTGTCAAAAAGACCGATCAAACACGAAGATTCAGTCAGGCGCGAAAGGCTATCAGTAATTCCTACTGCTGAATAACACCAAATGGCTCACCAACAATATTCATGGAACTAACGTGCTCCAAACAGTGGATAAGACAATGTTAAAAACAGACCATTGTGTATAAATTGCCGATAAAGTACATTCTCTCTTAAATAATGTTTCGTGTATTTTATTTGAAAAATGATAATAATTTAACAGAAGCTAAATCAACACCTGGATGAGGGCAGACAAGACGTACTTGTTTTACAACCCTGTTACGGTAGTTATCGAAAACTTCCCGCAGAGTGAATGTGCTCCTGGAGCGAATAAAGCTGGTCAACTTCAGTGTTTACTGGAGGAGTATTGTACTGTATAGTTAAAACAACTATCAATCGGATTGTTTCGGTCGAATGTCTTAGAATAGAAACCGGTAATATAAATATTGTAAAACGGTACTTTGAGAGCCCTCTCCAGCGCATCAACGTTGCAAACTACCGAGAATACATGAAGATATCAATATCTTCCCCTTTATCTGTATTTTCATCCAGACAGCCTTTGGTATGGTGACAATACATTTGTATATTCAATAGATAGAAAAAAGAACTAACAAGACATTTATTTATTTTATTTTATTTAGAATACATGAAGAGAACCATTCCCCCCCCCCCACGCACATACACACACTTTATTAATTTTTTTCCTTAGAACCCAAATGTATCTATGTTCCGAGCAACGTTAACCGCAGACGACGCAGTAGGCCCAGAATAATCCAGGGCTTTTCGCTTTGGATTCATGTCCAATATTTAAGTTTATTTTAAACCAGCTGGTTGGTTGCTATGCCAACTGAACATATTAACCCATAATGGTTACCATGCCATACTTGTAGTCTAGACGTTTGGTTGGTGTCTGCTAGACACAGAATCAGTCTCATCCGTTCAATATTCGATTTCACCACGAAAAAGTGAATAGTTTCGTAGAACAAAAAAAGAATAAACTGACCACGTGACTGACCTGTTGTTCGTACAATTCGAGCAATAATTCCAACTCTTTCGGTCGTTCCACTTTGTTTGTGTCCAGCAGTGTGCACTGATAACGTATGATCGCCTCGGACAACCGATTGTCCTGTCGCAACTGGTCGAGCAAAAATTCACGCTTTTTCAACTCCGTATCGCTGATTGCATATCGCGCGTCTAAATCCGCTCGTTCCAATTCCAACTCGTGCAGTCTGGCCAACAAAGTGATAATCTCGCGTTCTTCCGTGCGACGAGTTTGCTGGAGTAGAGTCTAAAACAGGGTAAAGGTTGTGAGGGTAAGGACTTAGGATGTCAGATGGGTGCGTCTTGATGTATACATATTGTGCTAAACAATAGACAGTAATCAGTTCTTATTTACTGGTCAGAGTGAATGGTTTTTGAGTAACTGTCTGAGCCTCTGAAAGCCCCAGTATGGTCTGGGGTGAGTATCTCGGGTGGGGGCGAGTCATCCCTCCCTCGTAAGTCGCAAAATACTCCTATAGGACCAGGGGTCTCAAATAGCTTTTTTTGAAGAAGCCCCACTTGCTGCCTTCCCGTGACAGAGTTGTTGTCCCCACCCAAAAAGCCATTATCCGGGGCTATACCGGAGTTGGTG